GAGCACAGACAGGAGCAGTTTTCTCTGTGCCCTGTGCCCTGTCTGTGCTCCTGCACTCTGAAGATGCCGGTCACAGGTGCTGGCGAAACGTTAGGAAACAAAACTTCCAGAACACGGCCACACAGCCCGGAAGACCCACACCAGCCAGGGAAAGAGTTTCTTTCCTTGGCCACTTCTGCAATGGCCTGGTGAATTATGACCAGATGAACATTGTGGAAAATGTACCAATCTTGAAGCTGAAGAATATTTAGGAAGAAGGTAGACTTCATCCTTCCCAATTTCACTATGTACTTAACAACCACAGAGTTGTCTGCTACCTCCTGAACAGTCTGGCTATGAAAAGTCTCCTGAAGTTAGGTAGAGCTGTAAAAACATCAGGATCTCAAACTTCTAAATGTGTAGAGGCTTCTGTTGTTAACCATGATTCTTGAAACTGAAATGTTCCCTCATCCAGTTTGGATATATCCATGATGACTATTATGGTTGGAATCAAGGACAAATGGCATACATATCAAAAGATTGTCTAGATTTCCCTACCAATTATGGCAACTTCTTGGGTTGGCCTCTGACAAACCAAAGGGAAATGGAGTGTCTGTTTTTCCACTTTAGTATCTCACCAGGAGTCTCACAGGATCTTGGATCTTACAGATCATAGATCTTAATACCTCAGTCCCTTCAAGATCAGAGATGGCACTGCATTTTATTGATGAATCTGTCAGGCATCAGTGAGGCCTTGATGCATCGCATTCCCTAACCAAGTTGGCATTGACAATAGCAACATCGACTTATTCCTAAGCATAAAAAGGCTTGGCATCCATTGACACTATTGGATTCCAAGAGCTGGATCTCAGACCTGAATGGAAACTATGGTTTTCAACATTTATTCCTAAGAAGTCACTCTAAGACAAAAACAGTGATTTTTGTGGGCTTATTTTGTAAAATTTGGCATTCTTGTGAGACCTTACCAATAATCCTTTCTTAAATACAGGAGACACAAGCTATGATCATCCAGAAGGGGAGCTTACTCTTACAGTGCTGATTACTTGTAGGTAGACCTTCAAGGCCATGTGAACTCTGCAGCAAATTGCCAGTTCAAGTTCCCACACAAATAAGTACAAAAACTAGCAGTAAGAAATAACTAAATGAAGAAAGAGAGTGAGGAATATTGGAAACTATAAATTTTGCTCTGAAGAAGTCCATCCAATGTGCTTCTATGTAGTAGTCAAAGGAGAACTGAGAAAAAATGTAGCAGCTACAGCTAGGACATGCATGATACACAGTGGAGAAAGTGGCTCCTACCAAAGATCTGTAAGCTTTTGGACATTCCAAATCAAGGCTGTATAGATGTAAAATCCATTACTGTAAAATCTCATAGTGTGATATGAAGCATTCAGAAATATACAGAAAAGCCTAATGAACATAAGTACAAACTGTTTTTCTATGGGGGTTACCACAGAAAGCAAATAAAGTTGTGCTGCTCCCTATGAAAAAAATTCCAAATCCACAATCAAGCAATAGACTCATTTGGAACAATCCAAATACCTCAAATTGTGAGTGAGCTTTTGAATTAATCAGAAAACTTCTGGACATTTCTTTTTTAAGATATTATCCAAATGTGGTTTCTAATAATTTATAAGGCTACAGGTTTTATGAATCTCACTTCAAAAAAATCTAACTGCAGAAATAATAGTTCCAAGTGTTAATGATTATCTGTTTCATAAGACACTACATCCACATATATTAACATTTTGCGTGACATCTAGAGTAATGGTTTCTTCATCGCAGTTATAAAAACAAACCAGAGTCCAATCCAATCCAATCCGTTTTCAAATACAAGTTTGTTCTACAAACTCCTGAGCTATTGCTGGTTTACCCTTAAAGGCAAAATTAATTTATTTCAATCTCCTTCTCTGGCATACCAAAAAAAAAAAAAAGGAACTGAGGGGAATATGAAGCCTGAGAAGATTTGTTCACATGTTGGGAAACATTATTCCACACTCCCCTTCAAGGTGCTCTTTCAATTTCATTATACAAAAATAAGCTATAAAACAGGGACACATTTTGAAAACACTGTGTATTAACTCACACAATAGACGACGTTAATAATTTAAAACTAAGCAATAGTGAGGATAAAATATTACCTTCAGCAAGGAGTACTGGCAGCTGGCAATCACCAAACAAAATTGGAAGACCCAGATATCCTTGAAGAAGCCTTCTATAAGGAGTACAGAACCTAGAAAAGCCACTTGGATAGCTAGGATGACAGCTAATACATTTTCCAAGATCTCACGATTCCTATGGGCAAAGAGATGCATGTGTTAGCGAAATGCTACAGGCAATAGGATCAAAGAATGCAAGAAAGCAGAACAGATAAACAAAATCTTATTATCCATATTAAGAGGACATGTTTGCTTATTTTTGGCTTTCAAATAGATTTCAGATATAATCAACTATGTTTTCAAGTGCACAACCTATACTATAGATCCAAAATGGATCATCATTCAATTCAGGTTTTAATCAAATCATCTGCTAGTCCAAATCCTAACAAGAAGATACCACCACCTCTTTGTTTTTCTAGATTTCTTTTCCAATCAATAGTGAATATTTTGTGATTAGTCATCTTGCTCAGTTCTCAGCCAACTATTTCATGGTAATCTGATTCCTTAATGCTTTGGTATTTCTACAAACTTTCGATTTTCTCCAAGCAGACTAATACCCTAAACAAAGAAGCATAGATTCTTTGTTAGAACAGTACAAATATACCTGTCAAACAAAGCCAGAAGAGTCAGTCTATCAAAATTTATGCCAATCCAAACTTTGGGTAGAATCCAAAAGCGATAATAGTGTTTCACTTTTTGGGATGCTTCCTCTTGTGGTTGTAGATGGTCCTGCAAATCAGGGCTTAGGTCCATGTCTTGATGCTCCAGAAGATCTGTATCTATAGTCAACAGTCTGTTCAGTCTGATCTGGGGGAGGGAAAGCTACAATAAAGTTAATAAGGTTTTGCTTTCATATTTTACTTCTTCAGTCATGCTTTGAAAGAACATAAATGTTAGGAGAGAGATCCTGCTAGGGGATGACTACTTTATCCCCCACTGTCTTTATAAGGCTCTACGAGCACTGGGGGGAGAGTTATCCCAGGAACAGATACCTGAATGACAGTTGCTTAAGACTGTCTACTCAAAAACACTATGGGTATGCCACAGGATATCTGGATTGGCCAGTTTCTCCAGCAAAGAAATACTGATCCTTTCTAAGGTTAAATAAAACAGATGAGATAGCATATATGCACACCAAGCTACAGGGATCTTATTTTTAATGCTACATCAAAGGATGAGACTAAACAACCAGGAGGTTGAACAGAGAGTCTTCAAAGACTATAGTAATCATGACCACAGTCTTGAGTATGTAATCCAATCCATATGCTGAACAAAGCTTGGCTATCATTATCTCATCTGTACAAGAACATTGTAGTTGCCACATTGCCACATATTAGCCCCAATACATTAAAGCAGCTGTGTCATTCTAATTATCTGCAGCTGTACTGTCCAGCTGCTGACCACTTGAACCACAAAGCCCTGTACCCATTTAAGTTTAGAATAGATGGATGGATGGATGGATGGATGGATGGATGGATGGATGGGATGGAAAATCTGCTTGCAATAAATAGTAGCAAATGCAAAACTTACTAAATCATGTGGATAAAAACGAACTGAGGTAGAACTTGATACATGAGAATCCGTGTCACTATAACAACAAGAACATAACTTTAGTTTGGTACCTTAGCCTGTTTTCCAATTCAATTCACTTTTCTATTCTAAAATACGGTTTTAAGGACAGCTTGCACTAAACTAGTACCTTTCAGATCTCTTGAGCTACAGTTTTTGGGGGTTTTTTTAATCACCCCAGCCAGCATGCCTATTAAGAATTTTGCCATAATGACTGGGGCTGATGGAACTGCCCAACACATCTGAAGGATACAAGGATGGAGAACTCTGCCCTAGGATGTCTCTTATCCCAATTTAAATAAAACTGTTTCAGAAAAGGTATATAAAAAGATGTACCCAACTGTGTAAGTCGCCTTCCCAATATTACCCCCAACATGATGCACATACACACAAATGCACACGTTATATTGAAACTAATGTTTGATTTTGGCTGAATGTCTAATTGGAGACCATAGGCCAGGGTGATGGTGGTGGTGGTGGTGATGACCTCTCTCTCTCTCTCTGATGCGTGCGCGCACACACACACACACACACACACACACACACACAACAATAATATTGGTTTATAGCTCCCAGTTACGTATTCAATCATTAATAAGTCTCAGTTTCAATATATATATAAACATTATTATTTAATAAAATATAAAAAAACCTAAAAAAATTACTTCTAGTATCAAAATACAATCTTACAAGTATTATCCATTTTACAAGTAAAATTGGCATTACTGCATAAACTACAGCAACTACTTTCAAAAACACACCAGATGTTAGATGTTCTTCTTGCAGCTGGCTCAAAATTCACAAGTGACATATCGCAGCCCCCTGTCTCATAGAGTGTGGAACTGAACTTACCTATTGAACAGAAAGTCAAGATAGATTAAATATCATGACATCTTTGAACACTGTAGTAACAAACATATATCACACAATTCTCATCTATATAACATACACACTAATTTAAAAATCATGAATAAGAAAAACCCATAAGAAAGATCCCAAAAAAGAAATTGTAACCAGGAATATAGATTAACACACATGGTCGCTTATGAAGCTGTTTAATGTACATACACATTTTTCATCACCCTGTCCCAGTCAGACCCTTGTATCTATCTAGTTGGCATAGTCTGCTAACACAAACATTAAATACCCAACATCAAGCCAATTTAAAATATTTACAATGGGATTTAAAAAAAAAAAACCACCTTATTGGGCTTACCAATTCCTAAAGCAGTAAGAGTATCTTCCTGTAGGAGAAAGCTAATAACTTGCATCTATGCATTTGCAGAAAAATAATTAAACAAAAGTGGGGAGGAATCTGTCTTGCATAATATTTGAATGTGAGATCATTCAGTGAAATTAACTGGTAATATGCTTGGAATAAACAAACAAGCGCCTCTTTGAAATCACACTAATGTATGTCGTTTGCTGTCATGATACCTCTACTCCCAGATGAAAACATGGGATGATTGCTTCCATTAAAATCTACATGTTAGCTACCCATGATTGTTAGCCATTGATAGAAACAATTATTAAATGGTTCCTAACTCAGATATTCCTAAACCAGAATAAAGGAAAAATGAAAAGACAAATGCTTGATTCCAGGTTCCCTACCTACTATAAACAAAATGGCCTTACAAAAACTAAATCTTGTCTTTATGTGTATTATATATTTAAGCCCATTCTTTGCACCTTCTATCTAAGAGTATATGTGTGTGTGTATCTCTGTGTGTGGTATAAAAATACCATATACTGGTATTTTAAAATTATTATATTACTTAGAGCAAAATGCAAAATGTGCACTCTTCAGATGCATGCAGTCCTGGGAGTTGGATATATCTTCAAAGCAGTAAGGATGAGGTAAAATTTTTGAATGCTGCTTTTTTTTTGCAATTTGAGGATTTTGTGGGATTTTAAAGGGTGAACTGGGTGCTCAGGCCTTGCAAAGGCCCAAGATAGTCACTGTATCAGTTAAAAATCTGATTAAAGTTGGTTAAAATTACATACAGTGGGGCAAAAAAGTATTTAGTCAGCCACCAATTGTGCACGTTCTCCCACTT